GCAAAGCTGGAAGGAACAGAGAGAAGGTCTTTTTCGCTGCCTGAATCTCCCAGTTCTTTAGGCAGCTTAAAACATCCTTATCCCAAAGCCCATCCCAAAGTGGCTGGAGAAGTCCCTACTGTCCAGAATCCCTTGTCAACCTATCCCTGAAATCTCCACATTTTCACATGGACATCTGTGCATTTGGTATATTGTCCAGCACTTGTTCCATCAGAAAGAAACCACCCAAATGGATCCCAAAATCAATCTCTCAAAACCAAACAGGACAGGAAATCCTGCATTGCTTCCTGCAGGAGTGTGTGGAAATATGGTAGAGTGCAAATGAAGAGGCAAATAGTAAGCTCTGACTTACCCTATTGACCAGTGAGAACAAGAGAGAAGTCAAGACGAGATTATGAAGACCACTGTGATGGGGAGCCTTTTATATGCTTCCAAGCCATCCCCCCTGGAAATGAGGTGTTCATTGGAAATTCTGACTTCCCCCTGTATCACCCATCCTATGCCACTCACGTGTCTTCTGGTATTTAATCTTTACCTCCTTCTGTTTGCTCACCACCTCAATTCTGCACCGTAATTAGTCTCACATATGAACAAGAGTGGAAATATTCTAATGAATTCGCATTAATGGGATCTGGAGGTAGCTCTAAGGTATTCCCATCCGCTTCCCAAGGAATGAGCCTGAGACACAGGGACAATGCACACGCGGGAGTCAGGTGCTGAAGCAGTGGGAGAACCATGCCTGGAACTTGGAAATGTCACCCCTTGCGTGTCCCCTCTGTGCTTGGCTGGGGTTTTGATGGACCAGTGGAAACTATTGGTCAATGTGAATCCTGTTTTCCTGCCTCTGAGAGGTGGCTGTGTGGTTAAAGTTAAGACTGAAGGGTTTCCCCTTTCTTAGCCTTGTTCTTGAGTCTCCCTCCATGGTGGTTGGTCCTCACCCCACCTGATTTTTGTTTCTGCTAAGCTTAATAACCTTTTCTCTTTCATTTTCACCCACGGAGGGGAAGGATTAAGTCTAAACTAAGCAGCTTTCAAAGCAGGAGTGCACATGTCAGCTTTTTTCTGCGTTGTTTCCATACACTCCATATTCTGAGGTTATTTCTAAGGCCTGTGAGGCCAAGACACCTTGTGTTTCATGGAATTTGTGATGATGACATTTAAGTGTTTCACACTGTTGGACTCTGTACTACTGTAAGCAAGCATGAGGTTCCAGACTGGTAATGCAATCCTGAGTGCATTTCTCCATGACTTTTCCCTGTGCCTTGGGAGTCCAGCTGGAATCTCACAGATGGTCTGAGTTTTCCAGCAATTACTTCTAGTTGTTTTGGCTGCAGTGAGCCAAGCCCTAAGCTGCTCTGCGTGCAAAGTTTGGCTGAACAATCAGGAGGGAATGATAAGATGGTTGGAGTCAAGGCAGATATTACAAGGCTTGGGGATGGGGGAAGGAATTGTGGCCGTGTGCAGAACCAGGCCAGCTCCACGTGAGGTGTTGATGGAGTCTTCATGTGATGAGAAGGGTCACCAATATGAGAGTGCTAAGATACTTGATATTTATGGCAAATAGAGCTTTCCATCATGTTCAGCTGACTCTGAATGTGAGGCTGGAGTGGTGACAGATGACTCCTCATGGCTGGGACATGTAGTATCTTCCCAAGATGTGAACATGACCTCTTATAGTGTTTGGTGTCTCTTCTGGAATTGTCCCTGGGGGAGCATTGTTTCAGTCACGCCATACTAGCCGGATACCTGATAGCCTGAAGGATGTAATGTCCTCTTTGTGTAAACCCTTAAACATGTCATCCACTGAATAAGCCATTCATTGCCTTTTTATCAGGTTTTATTGTCACCATATTGGCCAAGGTGATCATTCTGTTAGAATTATAGAATCATAGAATGGTTTGGGTTGGAAGCTACCTCTAAAGCTCATCCAGTTCCAACCATGACCAGGACACCTTCCTCTAGACCAGGTTGCTCAGACCCCTGTCCAACCTGACCTTGAATGTTTCCATGGTTGGGGCATCTACCACCTGTCTGTGTAACCAGTTCCAGTGTTCCACCACCCTATGAGTAAAACATTTCTTCCTTCTATCTATCTAGCCCGAATCTACCCTCCTTCGGTTTAAAACCATCACCACTTTTACATGTCACGCCATGATGTCTTTGTAAACTTCCACGGTGGTTCCATGAATTTGAGAGCTTCGGTACCTTTGTAAGTGGAGAGGAACCCATCACAGCAGCTTTTCCAGCATATGATGAAAAGAATATTCACAAGACATCCGTAACAGAATGAGCTTCTGATGTAATATGGTATTGGATGTCCTTCTGCCAGTGCACTGTACCTGATTTACCTGTTCATAAAACACTCCTAAAGTCCTGAGTAATGCCTTTCAGAAAAGTCTGACATGGGAGAGAAGACTATTCTAATGCAGACTTTGTGTATGCTCTGAAGATCTGGTTGAGGGAAGCAATCAGGACAACGCTCAAGGCATCTTCCTGAGCTGTGCAATTCAGAGCTGAGTCCTGAATTTTAATAGTAAAGGAAGTCCCAGCCAGGCAGAAAAGGTCTTGTTGACTCATGTGTGTGCTATTTTAGGAATGAAGCCTTTAAGTTGTATGCTAACACCTGGCTGTCATTCCAACTGCTTGGAATCCAGGAATGCTGCATATGAAAGTCTCTGTTCACATAAAAAAATTCAACAATATAAAATGTTTTCTGAAGTTTATTAGTTTGAAGATGGAAGTGGAAGAGGATGGTGCCTGCTCTTCAGTGAGTAGTGAGTTCTTCTCAGTACCTAGTGAAATACCTGTTGTAGCATCACGAGTTTCCTATACATCTTATGGAGTGATGTGTCTTTGGATGGTGGGTTTTTGCAAGCTTCATTCCAACTGTGCCCTTTGAGTTTTATTTACTTTAACCATTAAGTTTTATAGTAAAAATTGAGCTGAGGCAAATGATCAGTAGGTGGAAGGAGGGATCTTCATCAGTGACGACCCAATTTATGCCAACAACATTGTTGGACAGCTCTTTGTTTCCTAAATGTTCTGCTGTGCCGTGGGAGCATGTCTGTATCTGTAGCCAGCAGGAGCCTGGCTAAAGACACAGGAACAGCAGCAGAACGAGGATACGTTCTGAGCAAAGTGATATAAAAACAACCAAGGCAAGATTTTGTGTTTTGCTCAATGCTAACTTTTATTGTCTACAAGTCAAGAGAGGGGGTGAAGAATGATAACATTAATAGCAAAGATAGCCCAAGTCCCAGATACCAAGAAGAGAAGTAGCAGCCCCACTAATATCTAGCAGCTCTTTTGCCTTACACAATGGGTAATATAATCAAGTGCATTACAGATGTTCAATAATGAAAAGACAGAAAGAATACAGCTCAAGTTTGAAAACAAGAAGAAAATCACAAGGTGTTTACTCCATCATCATGTGAACCAGGAGCAAATGAGCAGGTTTTCATCTCCCTGTGCATGTTCTTGTTGCATGCCAGAGATGGGAGCCTGCAGAGCTGCTTTTGCTACCCAGAGTTGGCTCAGCAAAGCCTCTTGATTGAGGTGCAGCACTGCTGGATGGGAATGCCATACTTCCTCAGGGGAGAGTAGCACAGCACAGGGCTGCAGCGCAGCACAATGGGCTTCTTCACTGTGTAGGAGCAGCAAGACAGACATTCAGCAGGGCAGCAAGGGCGGCAGGTACAGCAGCAGGGTACCTGGCCGCAGCTGCAGCAGGTCTTCTGGCACACCTTGGTACAGCAGACGGGCTGCTGGCATGGGTCACAGCAGGGATTCTGGCATGGGTCACAGCAGGGCTTCTGGCATGGGTCACAGCAGACAGACTGCTGGCATGGGTCACAGCAGGGCTTCTGGCATGGGTCACAGCAGACAGACTGCTGGCATGGGTCACAGCAGGGATTCTGGCATGGGTCACAGCAGACAGACTGCTGGCATGGGTCACAGCAGGGATTCTGGCATGGGTCACAACAAGGCTTCTGGCATGGGTCGCAGCAGGGATTCTGGCATGGGTCACAGCAGACAGACTGCTGGCATGGGTCACAGCAGGGATTCTGGCATGGATCGCAGCAGGGCTTCTGGCATGGGTCACAGCAGACAGACTGCTGGCATGGGTCACAGCAGGGCTTCTGGCATGGATCACAGCAGACAGACTGCTGGCATGGGTCACAGCAGGGCTTCTGGCATGGGTCACAGCAGACAGACTGCTGGCATGGGTCACAACAAGGCTTCTGGCATGGGTCACAGCAGGGATTCTGGCATGGGTCACAGCAGGGCTTCTGGCATGGGTCACAGCAGACAGACTGCTGGCATGGGTCACAGCAGGGCTTCTGGCATGGGTCACAGCAGGGCTTCTGGCATGGGTCACAGCAGACAGACTGCTGGCATGGGTCACAACAGGGCTTCTGGCATGGGTCACAGCAGGGCTTCTGGCATGGGTCGCAGCAGGGGATCTGCCGCGGCGCGTCACAACAGGGCTTCTGGCATGGGTCACAGCAGGGCTTCTGGCATGGGTCACAGCAGGGATTCTGGCATGGGGCACAGCAGGGCTTGCAGCAGACGGTCTTCTGGCACGGGTCACGGCAGCATGGGTCACAGCAGACAGCCTGCTGGCATGGGTCGCAGGAGCAGGACTGCTGGCATGGGCTGCAGCAGATGGTCTTCTGGCACGACGGGCAGCAGCACACGGTCTTGCTCTTCACAACGGAGCAGCATCCACATCTGCTACAGCGCATGTTGTTTGTAGAGTGGTCAAGGGTGGAAGGAGCGAGGACCTGAAACACAGAGTACTTTCAGATACCACTTCTTCCCAAGTATATAGATGTGTGCTTTGTTTTGGCATTCCAATGCTGCTGTCTAGGCGCATGGGTGGTAGCCACATCATACACTGCTCCCAACTTATTTGCTTTGAATTCCATCCGAAGAAGCTTATTTTCCACTTTGCCCTCTCTACCAACTGTCTTCTGCATTAAGCAATAGACCAACAGGCTGGGAAAACCTGGATTTCGGAGAGAGCTGTAGCTCTCAGAATCACAGAATAGTTTGGTTTGGAAGGGACCTTTAAAGGTCATTTAGTCCAACAACCCACAAAGATCAGAATCAGAGACACTTTTCAATTCATTGCTTGACCAAAACCAAATGAGAACCGTTGCCATCAAAGAACACCGCTAATGAGTAACACTTACCGTGCTAACTGAGTGGTGCAGTTGAGTGAGGAGCAAAGGGACGAGGAGACCTTTTATTTAGCTCCAGATTGGCCTTCCGGAAATGAGGTACCCCACAGCAATTCGTGATTTATGTGTTAAGCCTATACTTATTTGTTGAATGGGCCTTCGTCTATTTAGTCTTTGCCTCATTATTTCTGACCAACCCCTCCATTCCATGTTATTATCCATTTGTTCTGTAAATTTTTTACAGTTTTTTAATGTCAAGTTAAATGGCAGTGTCAACTGCAGATTGACATCTTGTGTGATGCTTGTGAACTGCTTAAAAGGTATGTTTCTGCTCATTTTGCATATGGTAATGTCGTTACACTGGGATGCTAGGTGGCTTGTTCAGAGCTAGTGAGTCTTCAATTAACATAAAATCCATAATTAAGATTGAGGAGCAGTCAGTTCCATGGCGTGCAGAGGCCTTCTGGACGTCAGGCACTCCTCAGTATGATTTTTTATTAAAACAGAATTCCAAAGAGTGCAATTCCGTGCCCCCATGGTTTGTTTTTGAATGCAAAAAAGCTGAAGCCCAATGTCTGTCTTTGCAGTCTCTGGTCATCAGAAGGGCATATATGTAGCAGAAAGTTCTTGACATAGAATCATAGAATGGTTTGGGTTGGAAATGACCTGAAGATCATCCAGTCCTAACCTGCTGTCATGGGCAGGGACACCTCACACTAGGCCATGTTGCCCAAGGCTCTGTCCAACCTGGCCTTGGCCACTGCCAGGGATGGGGCAACCACAGCTTCTCTCGGCACCCTGTGCCAGCACCTTAGCACCCTTACAGGGAAGAGCTTCTTCCTTATACCTAACATCTCAACCTCTGCTGCCTCATTCCATCCATGCATGGGAAAACACATGCCCTTGGCCTTGCCAATATTAGAAATGTTAGGTGCAAAGGACTGTGCCAATTTATCATGGAAGTTTGGAATAGAGTTGGGGTCAAATCAGCATCTGTATTTTCCCAATGTCTTTTGGATATCTTTAAATAAAAGCAAAATGCAAAACTTTTCTGGCAGTTTTACATTCTGTTTATGTTTTGCATAACTTGAACAGCAAAATTCCTATTCCTTTTTTTTTTTCCCAGTTGTAGTGTGCCCCCGGGTCATGAAAGATCCACCTATGGCTGTTACGTTTGGAATAACTCTAGCTCAGTCCTCAATCCTCCATTGGCAGTCATTAGTGCTGATGTTAATGATCACGTTGCAATTATTCATTAATGAAGCTGATATTTAGTTTACATGAAAGCCTGAAGGCCTCACGTGGTCGCCTGAGCACCCTTAGGATTTCAAATTGAACTATGTCTTTACCAAAATACGCCTCTCTCCGGTCAGAAGGGATTCACAGGACCTGAGCCCATGACTGATGTGACTAAATGTCTTGTGTCTGAGATCACCCCAAAAGGGAGGGATGCTCCTGCTGCTGTGGAGCTGTGCATCTGTGGAAGCAGAGCACCAAAGGACCCTTGAAACCATCTCCGAGGACATGCAGCTTTGCTGGGGATACCCTGATTTCTGCTGAGGTGAAGGAAAGAAGAATCTGTCTTCATACAGGAGCATGGTGGGATCCATGTCACAGATTCTGAGGGCAGGATAGGTCATTGTGAACCTTCAGTTTGTCTTCTGGTGACATAAATCACCTGTTTCCACTCAGTTTCTGTTGGGTAGCTACTGTTTCTATTTGGCTACATCCCAACTTTTAGAATCATAGAAAGAAACCACCCAGTCTTGTTTCGAGGAATTCAAAAGACCATGAGGTCACCAACACTCCAGGCAAGCTCTCTCCAAGGTCAATATTGCTGTCCACTAAAACACAGGCTTTGTTTCTTACTGAGTTTGGCTTCATGCTAATGACTGGGTTAGGCTGGATCACTGCCATCCATTATAATCTAATTAGTGATAGAGATTTACACCAGCTGATTACCTGTATCTCAGCTAACTATAAAGGGGGCTCATGGCAACCTGGGAGGTGCTTGGGAGAGGAGGAGAGGGTTTTTGAGCTTGCAGGGAAATGTCAGGGGGCTCTGGCATTAGAAATGTGGAGGATCATGAACAAGGAGGTAAAGTAAGAGATATTGGTAAAAGTGAGTGTCCTAGGTTCAGTGTTTAAACCATGACAATGAGGCAGTTTTCTGTGTGCTCTTGTAGGGATCTAGTACATTGATTCGTCAAGTGTCCCTCTGAGTCAGAACTCCCTGCTACTGTTAGAGCTGATTGTGAGCATCAGAGATATCTGAAGCCATTTGAGACACATCGTGAGGTTTTACAAGAGGAGTTTTACAAAAGAAAAGATTCAAATTTGATCCCAAACAAGATCCCAGTTAAATTTTACATTGAGTGAATGAACTTAGCAGGCTCTGTAAGTTGCCCAGAGTAACACTGCTCTGTTTGGATTTGAGAACTAGGGGTGCAGTGAAGCAATCCTTGCTGTGAAACGGCTAAGGCAAATTCCTCCTCATTAATCTTCAGGGGTTTGCTCATAGTTTATCCTGGTTGTGGAAATCCGCTGTTACATTATTTAACACGTAGTCAGCAGAGCAGAAATGTTCCTCTAAGCCGTCTAGAGTGTTAGGCATAGAGGATTTCTTTTCTTGCTAAATGTCTATGGGCTCTGATTTAAAAGAAAGTATTCTAATGAGGTAAAGCATTCATAAAGTCTTTGGTGCTTAATGTTCCAACCTTTGCAGGGTTGACAAATACATGGAATGGAATAGAATAGAGTAGAAATGAAACAAGCTTTGTTCTTGTTTTCCTGTGATTGCTGCCATATCTCATCTTCAAGTTAATGGGAACTTCCAGCTTGAGCACAGCAGAAAGAGCAGCCAGTTCAAGAAGCTTTTCGCCTGTTGTGGGATTTGGAGAAAAAAAAGGAGGAAATACAGCATGTTGTGATTAGTCACAGAATAGAGTTGGAGGCTTGGGTAGGAAGAGAAAGTAAACTTGAAGAGAAAATCACTCCTATGGACAACAAAACCTTTGTGACATAATACCTGACTAGAGAGTGAAGAATGAGTAAGGAAAAGTTTTTAATGCAGCTGCCATGGGTCGCATGAAAATGAGCCATCTCTTAACAATGTCAACAACTTGAATATAGGTGAGTAACTAATTGCTCTCTGCATCCCATTTTCAACTTTTCCTTTTTAGCTGTTCCTCTATAATGACAATTTTCTCCTTAACCTATAAATAACTAATTCCAATTACTTATATACCAAGTGGTCATTTACGAGGTACTTGCAGCTCCGCCAGCCCATTTCCCACGCCTGCCCTAGGTTGGATGAATCATGCTGGGGAAACCTGTCATTTTACACTGTTTAATTGTTCCAAACCCTGCAGGATTTGCTTTGTTTTGTTTCCAAATATAGCAGCAGCTTTTAAAATTCACATCTGCAGTGAAAACATGAGCCTCGCCCCTGGCTGTAGCTCTGAAAACCCCTTTGCTGAGCAAAATGCAAAGATTTGGTTTCACCAGCAGTTAACCCAACATGTTTCTCTTAGCCCTCTGCATGTGTTACAGCACTCTTGGCATTGCTGGTGGGTGCTGTGGGCATTTTTCTTCACTTTCTTGTTTCTTTGGCATTTCTCCTTCTTTAGCTATTATCACCAGTGATTAAAACATGGCTCCAAAACCACAAGACAAAACCCGACGCGACCAGACAAGCAGCTATGACGGAGCCGTGACTAAAACCATCCAGAACTGTTAGGTAGGATATATAATTTTTATTGTCTTGCTGGAGATCGAAACAGCAAAGCAAGAAAGAAACTACAGAAAGATTTGTGTTGGCAGAAAGATTACCATTTCAAAGCTCATTAAACTGAGAGATTTATCCTAATACCATGCTACTCTCCAACCCTTTTAAAGGTGTTTGCTTGCAGAGGAGCATTGGATGGCAAGCAATGAGCAAGGAGGTGAGCTTGAGGTTTTGGGCGAGATCCAATGCTGGGTTTGAATCCTGCTGTTAGTATTTGGGGCATTTTGGTGGCAGGTCACAGATGTTCTTGGTGTACTGGGGACAGAAGGGAGCTGGGGGAGCTGGGGGGCAGTAGCGTTGCACAGGGGGGCAATAACGCTGCACAGGGGGACAATAGGACTGCACAGGGGTGTAGCAGGGTGTCACGTAGGTGAACTTCTGCACAGGCTGCCTCTGGATGGTGTAATGGCAGGAGGATCCTGAGCTGTGGCAGCCGGAGTGGGATCCATGGCAGCCAGAGCTGGATCCATGGCAGGAGGACTCATAGTTGTGGCAGGACCCGCGGGAGCACATCTTTCTGGGGTATCGGCAAAGCTGT